TATCATGGACTAAATCATAAAAATTTGTAAGTACATGACCAAATTACAAAAAGTACTACATGAATCAATTTAAATATTTAAAATATCATGGGAACCAATTTAATATTTTAGCTCAAAAAGAAAAGGTAATGTTATATGACAGTAGTCTCCAATTTATGATAATTGTCATATTTGGGGTTGGCAAGTACATAAAAAAGTAACAATATGACAGTAGACTCTTAATATATCTATACTAGTATCTATGCTTGTAGGTCACATGAGTTTATTATTTTATATGACTCACGAGTTTATTATTTTATATTTTTAAAATTGTTTAGTTAATAAATATTGAATCAATTACAAGCACTAAAATTTCATAATTTTTTCAATTATTATTTAACTAGTCAACTAAAAAATTAACTATTTAATCGAATAACGAAAGAATCTTAGTATTTAACAAGGCCCAATTCATGTTTAAAATATATTTCAATCATAATTAATTTTTTAATAGATTTAGTTTTATTTTTACATAGACAAAAAAATTTAAATTCACGAACTTAAAATAAATAGGCATGCATCGTTAGCTTATTAATTATAGAGTTTTTAAATAAATTGTAACAACCTACTACCTCTATAAACATAGGCATCTATCAATATTTGAGATGACAACTTAGAGAAATGTTATAAAAAGAATAATACAAAGCCTCCAAAAGCAAGAGCGGTAGAGTGTCTCATCCTCTTTAAGGCCTCCACCTCTTTAGTGTCTTCTTTCCGAGAGCAAGATTAAGTCTTGTTCTTAACATATTGATGTGAATCTAGATAACACCGACAAAAAAACTCAATCCTAGGAACCAAGCACTGAGAAGGAAGCTAAAGATATCCTAGATATCCCTATTCTGCCTTATTTGATTAGGACCACCTTGTCAGTCTCAAAGACTATCTATATCACATTTCATGTTGTCTATGTCCTATTATGCTTCTCAAACTGCTTTTGCAATGCTTTTAATATAAATGTTATGTCATTCATGGTTATTTCACACTTCTCACTTCCAAAATTTGACATGATGTATAATCTGCAAGAAAAATGTTAATAAAAAAAATTCCTCTCAACACTCCCTTACATGTTTCACTTTTGAATAGATTTATCACTTCTCTCATATTTTCACTCAGGATTTTGGCTTTTATCCTCTCTTACACTCATACTCTCAAGCCTTTTACTACCTTATTCTCTTCTTCAAGTTGTACTTCAAAATTGAAAGCAACTCAATCACGATATACAAGAAGTTGTTATGTGACACTTTAATGAATCCTAACGAATAAAAAGGTAAACAATTAACACTAGATGCAAATTAGATAATCAAGAATAAAATCTAAACAAACGGGTTAAGGTGGGTGTGTTTCTTTAAATTAATTCAAAAAAACTAGAATGTAATTAGCTACTTTTAATATAATAGAAACAAGAGGTCTATGAAGAAACGAAACTAAGAATACAAGAAAATGATTTTTGACTAATGATAACAGAATTCATATCACTCCTAATGAGAAATCTAAATATGTAAACCTACAATCTATTCCCAATGTAAACTATTCTATTGTGAGGCAATATATGTGTAGTTGATGCACTTTAACTAAGATGGACATAATTGAAAGTTTAATTGCAATAGAAACTGATTCTGATTTTTTTTTCCTTTTCTTTTTTTTTTTATTTTTCTTTTGATTTTTTTAATTCGGTCAACAAGAATAAAATATGAAAAGACAAAAAACACAAAATTAAAGAATAAGAACGAGATGTAACTAGAATTAAGAATAACAAAAATAGAAGTTGAATAGTTTAAATAAATAAGAACAAGAAGATAAACTTCGATAAATCAAACACAAATGATACCTAGAGATTTATCTAATGTCAAAGCTCTAATAGCAAACTGATGCAGGATTAAAAATTACATCCAGAATGCCACATATACATTTAGTATAGATAACTTAGAACCTTAAATTAATCCTCTCTACCAAACCCACAACTAACCTGTAATTGAGAACTTGGGTTATTGGGATGAAAGAAGTAAGAATGAATAAATATCATAAAATAACTTAATAAGTTAATTCAATTTTTAATGCAACAAGAAGAATAAGCATTCTCACTTGTCAAAGTTCTACCAAAGGTAATAAAATTCATTCAATAATCGAAGTGTGTCATATTACATTGAAAATGAGATATTTATAGATTAAAAAATCTAAATTATACTAAAATATCATAATTAGATGACCTAGGAAAAAATGAACATAATTTAAATGACTTAAGAAAACATGAACATAATTTAAATGACCTAAGAAAATGTGAACATAATTTAAATGATTTAGGAACATATGGTATTAAATGACCTAAGAAAATATGGTATTAAATGACCTAGAAAAACATGGTATCAAATGACCTAAGGAAACATAATATTAAATAACCTAGGAAAATATAATATTAAATGACATAGGAAAACATGAACATAATTTAATTATCTAGGAAATGACCAAAATAATCCTATACATTGATTCTAAATCTGTCCACACACTTAGATAAAATTAATGATTTTTCTTCTTTGATTCATCAAACAATCCACATGTGCTAAGTTCTTATTATATCCATCTTTGTACAAAGTTTTGAAATGTTTATTTTAGCTTTTTGGCTTGAAATCTTATGTTTGGACCAACTGACATTCTAATATCTTCTTCATGCTTCTCTTTAAAGCCTTTTAAACTCATGTCCACTTCATTTTATTTTTTAATTACTTGGATAAGCTTTCAATACGTTAATTGTGATTCCAATAGGGATGGTTGAATTTATGTAATTAAGTTTTAAATTGCTGAATATAGTGAGTTCATGATCGAGGTGTTTTCGATCTGTAGAGTCATCCTACCCCGCGTCATTTAGTATAAGAGCTTAAGCACCTTATTGAGTCTACTATATTATTTTACTTTACATTTTGTCCTTGCATAATTAGCAACTAAAACACCTCGTTGTTAATCCGTTATTGCTTGTGATTTAAATCTCACTTGATCCTATTCAGTTCGTTCTTTTAAGTGGTAGAGTGATTGTGAAACTAGTCACAAAAAATAGAAAACTCAAGAAAATTGATTGCACCCTCTAAGGCAGTCTGAGTTTATTTTGTTGTATTATAAACAAAAGAAGATTTAGCGTACCAGGTGATGAAAACTTTTGATTCATCAAAAGAAGATTTCCTCACCTACCAAGGTGCGCAAAAATTTTTGTTTTTGCATTACATGAGAAAGGAAAATTAATCGTCTCTATAGAAGTGCAAAAATTATTACTTCACGTTTATATAAAAACATTACATCATTGAGTCTGCACATATTCAGCATAAAAGAAACTTAATTATTCGTAGAGTGTAGCCATAATTGGGGTAATATAACTAGGAATAACATTCTGGTTATAGTCATCGAGATTGATTAGATCCCTTATGCTTTAAGTCGAGAATCATTCATTTGTGCTCAAGTTTCTATCATTTATTGTGCTTTTGTTTTCATATACATCTAAATAGTTACTCGTTTATAGTTACTTATCATTTAACTAAAGCACATCAAGTTCTTTTGTGTGCTTAATTTGAGCTTCTAGAAACAAGATTCCTTACAATTCCTCGTAGTGTTTTTAAGACTAACGTATAGGTCTTGATTAAGTGAACTTAGTTCCTGATGCTTAACTTGGTGGAAGAAACTATAGTGTG